AACCAGGAGCGAACTAATAATAATAGTTTTAATTTTTACAAATTTAGATTTAGGCGCGAAATAGGTAAACATTGATTTGAAAATAGAGTAGTGGATGAATGGAACAAGTTACCAAACATCATCATTAACTCGAATACGCTGGATAGCTTCAAACATAGGTTGGATGAATATATGAGCAATAGGGGTTTGGGTAAATGGGACTGCCCAGTATGAGCCAATGGCCCGCTGTAGTTTCCTCCATTCTTATGTTGTTGTGTGTTCCTAGTGGCACTGGGTTTGGTCTTGGGTATACAGTATATTTCTCGATGAAATGGTACACTTTACTGGCTATGATATTCAGCGTAGTGTTTGCGTTCTTATACCTTAGTGAGTCAGGCCAGTGGATACCCCTCTTCCTGTCGTAATTTTCATTGTAATATTTGCACCTTGGTCTGGTTTTGTCGTGAACCAAGTAACAGTTAAATCTGAAGGACAACATTACATGGTGGCTGGTGCCAACGGGGGCTAGATGTTCCAGCTTGGCCACCATACCCACCTCGTTTGTTATGATGAGGTCCAGTAGCTTGGGTGTTTGCTCCCCTTTGTAATGCGTCGGGTCCTTAACATGTTGGAACGGAAAATTTTCTCTCAGAGTTTCTACAAAAAGAGTAGCGGGGGGTATTTAAGCCGTATGGCGTGGACTCATTTCTCCAGTCGATGTCGCCATAGTTAAAGTCCCCCGTGATAAGGAGGTGGCTAGGGTTGAGCATCGTTGCGTTGTCTATTAAGGCTCTTAAGTTCCTTTGGTTTAGTAAGCCACAATTTGGGGATCTGTAGATACACCCGACAATAAGTAAGTCTCCTCCCTTTAATTTAATTTTACACCACTTGGATTCTTCAAAAGCATCCTCTCCCTGTACCCTCACCTGGCTGGCTCTAAGGTCTTTCCTAGCATAGATAACCACACTCCTCTTGCAAGTTTCTTGAGAAAGGTTCGTAAATAAGTCAAATCTGTCAATACTGAACTCGCATTCCTCTGGGTCAATGCTCCTATTCTTTTACAACAGTTCTACAACACCTACTATATCGGGTTGATGTACAGTACCTTCAATAGTGTTTCAAACTCCTTTCTCTTATCAAGGAACGTGTCATTATTAGTGTACATGAGTTTCAAGCCGGAATTTGTTCTCGGTAACGTCTCTGCTCTTGGAAATGGCTCCGGCCCTCCTCCAGTCTCAGCAGCTGCAGTATTTGCTAAATACATAGTATTTTGCGGGGTGTGGTCAGAGATGTCATTGTTTACATGGCGCTCGCCTTCACCTGGGTGGGAGGGAGAGCTGGTGCCTCCTCCTGGGTGGAAGGTGAAGCGGGTGGGGGTTGTACCGCTGTCCCCTGGCTCTGTGCTGGCAGTCTGGCACTCTTGCTTCCACTACCCTCCCCCTGGATATAACCCATGTACCTGTACACCCGTCCACGTTCCTCCTAGACTCATCCCTCCTCTGCTTCAAGTCCTGCAGGAGCTTCTTGTGCTGTTCCCTCTGCATTACTGTGCGATCTGGGTGAATGAATATATTCCGATATGCCTCGCTCCTTGCTAAGTTTTTTGCCAGCCGAATAACTTCCCATTTCTTATTCTCATTCACTAGTGTGATACTAAGGGGGCGAGGCTTGCCCTCCTGCTTTTTTCCTCGCCTCCTCACACCCTGAGGGAGGACTGACGTATTCAGAGCCTCTGTGCAAATATTTTCAAAATGCAACTTATAGTTTGCAGTTTATGGCCTGGGCTGGCCTCTTGCCCTACTGTGTGAGGTCACGTAGACCACAAAGGGAAAATCTTGTCTAACAAATCTGCTGACGTTTTTTAGGAAAGTCTTCAAGGTAGTACACAATGACGAAAATTACGATGTTATTTACTTAAACTTAAGCAAAGTGTTTGACAGAGTATCGCATCAGAGGCTTCTGAGAAAAGTTAAGGCTCATGGTATCGAGGGGGAAGTTTTAAATTGGATAAAATCATGGCTCACCGATAGAACACAGAGGGTCAGAGTAGATGGTGTTAAATCTGAGTGGGGCTGTGTAACCAGTGGGGTTCCCCAGGGGTCAGTAATGGGCCCAATTTTGTTCATAATCGACAGTGCATAAGCGATCTAGATACTGGGATCAGCAGTGACATAAGCAAGTTTGCGGATGACACCAAAATAGGGCGGCAGATTAATTCAGGGCAGGATGCAAATGCACTACAGGAGGATTTAAATAAATTGCAGGAGTGGTCAGAAAATGGCAAATGACATTCAACACCAGCAAGTGCAGCCTTCTTAATATTGGAAGAACAAATACTGTCAATATATACAGCCTTAACAACATCAACCTAGAGAAGTCGACTTGTGAAAGAGACTTAGGGGTACTTGTAAGCCCGGACCTACAGCCTAGAAAACAGTGCGTTAATGTTCGAAATAAAGCAAACAGAGTATTAGGTTTTATATCTAGAAGTATAAGTAATAAGAGTGCGGAGGTCATATTGCAACTATATTTTTCGCTAGTCAGGCCGCACCTCGATTATGCTGTTCAGTTCTGGTGCCCTTATTATAGTATGGATATCAATTCACTGGGGTCGGTGCAGCGAAGAATGACGAAAATGATCCCGGGACTTAGAAACCTCTCCATATCAAGATAGATTAAAGAAACTAAACTTGCATTCCCTAGAAAGACGAAGAGTGCGGGAGGTATAATAGAAGTATTTAAGTGAGAAAAGGGAATCAACAAGGGGATATAGATAATGTTTTTATAATATCCAAGCAGGATAGGACTCGTAGCAACGGATTTAAGTTGGATAAGTTTAGGTTTAGGAGGGAGATAGGAAGGAACTGGTTCGCAAACAGGGTGGAACAAACTTAGCAACTTTGTAGTAAGTGCTGGAATGCTGGAAAGCCTTAAAAGGAGACTAGATAGATTCATGGATGATAGAGAATGGTAGTAACTCTCGACAGAAGCTGCCATGCACAGGTCAACCGGCCTATTGCAGACTCCTTATTTTCTTATGTTCTTATGTAATTCGTCCGTAGATGATGACATGAAGGACCTCACGAGGTCATGGAGACACGGGGTGGTGTGGTGTTCACGTGGTGTAGTGATTCGTGTGTGTTTGTGAGTGTAATAATAATAATAATAATAAACGGTTTATTAATAGAGTTGCAGCCGGTGGCTGAAAATATACAAACTTACATTTGATTTAGACATAATGATATGTGTTGAATATATTTACAGGGCTGTACAGTACATAAATCAGGAGTGGTTTATTATTTTAACAATAGATGGGATGGTGCTATTCTTATATCTATCAGTGCGGGCTCTTATGGGCTGAATTTTGTTGTAGTGGCGGAGTGCGCGAGGTGGGCGGGGGACTGCCGGTGGCAGGAGGTGGCGATGACGAGGATGGTGCAGTAGTCCACTGCCAAACCTTGCTAGCGCTTGGTGGTGGAGGTCACTGAGGATTGGCATTTCCAGGGTGGAGAGAGCGTTGTTGTAGCCGGAGTAGTCTGCACCGAGCATGATTCTGCAGACCCTTTTCTGTACCTTCTGTAGCCGACGCTGTTGGGTAGAGTTGAGAGAAGACAACCAGGCTGGTGACGCATACGTTAGTTTGGGGAGAATAAAGGCATTGTAGATAGTCCTCAGCTCTGGCGTGGGTGCCCCAAGTGACCTAAGTCGTTGTAGCATGTAGAGTCGGTACGAGGCTGCCTTGATTGTGTTGTTTACATGGGCCTTCCAGTCCAGTTTGTGGTCTATGGTAACACCCAGGAGTTTGGCAGACTGCACTAACTGGAGAGGATGGGCACCCACTGTGACTGCTGGAGCTTGCACTGGTGTGGTTGCGGTATTGATGTGTTTTGGTGTGGTTGATGGTGACCTTGTTTTCCATAGTCCATGCCTGTAGCCTGTCCAGGGTGTCTTGTAGCGATGAGTAGTCCGGTGAGGTGTTGTTCACTGTAACCCCCACCGTGCAGTCATCCACATACTTCCACCTGTAAGGAGTGTCCGATAGAGCATAGTTGTTCAGGATCAGAAAGCATAGTGGTCTCATCTTGTGTGTGTGTGTGTGTGTGTAATAATAAAGATAATAATAATAATTAACGGTTTATTGAAAATGTTCTGCAGCCCTAAGGCTGAAAATATACATTGGACATAAATGACTTATTCCATACAATGGTGATTTAACAAAAGCTTTCATTAGAGAAAGGAAAAGGAACAAACTGTGAACAAACAGAGTAATGTTTACAATGGAGATCACGTAGATCATGTGCACTGAGGTGTTCAACAGCAGACACGTAGTGTAGTAACTCCCTCACAGATGGTGTTATGAGGGGCATCACGTGGTGTAGTAATTCCCTCACAGATGGTGTTATGAGGGACCTGATGAGGTGTAGTAATTCCCTCACAGATGGTGTTATGAGAGGCATCACGTGGTGTAGTAATTCCCTCACAGATGGTGTTATGAGGGGCATCACGTGGTGTAGTAATTCCCTCACAGATGGTGTTATGAGGTGTCGTAGCATCATGAGGACACCACGTGGTCTGGTGTCACAGGACCTCACTCACTCAAGTGAGTGAATGTGTGGTCCCAGGCCTCCCCAGCGTGGACGGATTAACACATAGCTGGTGTTGTTGAGTCTCAGGGGCAGTTATCACTGGGTACCTGGGACCTCACTGTGTGAAGGTTAGCTTGAGTACGACTCAGCTGATACTGTTGAGTTGTTTTTTACTGACTTGAGCACTGTTCACCACTATTCAACACTGGTTCCATTCCTTTCCTAAATGAAATAGTAACTTCTGGCGAGAACTTGTTGATATTCCGGTGGGGAGGAGGGGTTCAGGGGAGGGAGTTGGCATAGGCCAACGTATCAGTTGACCTGGCTGCTCCCAGAGGAGCGCCAGGTGCGTCTTGACCCTTCGGTGGTCAAGGATGTAATGTGTGTGTGTGTCTTCTTATAAAAAGGGGACACCTACACGCCACAAAGAGACAGAAAGATAAAATATAATGATCACAATAAACTCGTTTGAAAATTCCTCTCTACTAAAATAACATACAAATAATTCCTTACATTTCTTTTGATATAATCATCTTGATAATATAATCCATCACGACACGTGCAGCTGATAACGCCCTCCCTCCTCCACGTGTGATACAGGGGATGTTCATAGTGTCCCTGCCGTATGCTGTGCTGCACGGAGGCTACTGGGCCATTGTGGCCATGGTGGGCATCGCCTACATCTGCTGCTATACGGGCAAGATCCTGGTGGACTGTCTTTATGAACTCAACGAGGAGGGTCAGCTGATCCGTGTCCGTTCCTCATACAAAGGCATCGCCAGAGAAGTGTTCGGCCAGAAGTGGGGCGGCAAGATTGTCAACTCAGCCCAGGTAAGGAATCCTTGTGCTTCCCTCTTGAAGTTTATAAGGTCAGTGTTAAGGCTGGGAGGTTAAAGTTAATGGTGTTAAGTCTGGGAGGTTAAAATTAGTAGTGGTATAAGAAAAAGAGTTATTAACATTAGAAATGATTAGAACCAGTGTTTTAGACGTAACTGTCATGGAAGTGTTATCCTTATTTTATGATTTTTTTTATAAAACTCTGTATTAATATGATTCTTAAACAATCTCATTAACAAACAAGCTAATAATAAATGATCATTCTATTTGTAAACAACACAACACACCAAAACAGGTCCTCAAATACAACAACCTTGAAATGAGTACTAATAAAACATTTGGCAACCCCCTCATGAGTAAACGGAGAGTTATATCATATCATAATCAGCACCTAATACTGCTCTTGTTGTGCCCGGTCAGCTGATCGAGCTGCTGATGACGTGCATCCTGTACGTGGTGCTGTGTGGAGACCTCATGATCGGCAGCTTCCCCGACGGCCCCATCGACGCTCGTTCCTGGATGATGGTGTGCGGGGTCGTCCTCCTGCCGTGCGGCTTCCTCAAGAATTTGCACCACGTCTCCACACTCTCCTTCTGGTGTATGGTCGCCCATCTGGCCATTAACATCATTATCTTCGCTTACTGCATCAGCAACGCCTCCACCTGGGCCTGGTCGAAGGTCATGTTCCGTATAGATCTCCTGGAGTTCCCAATCGCCTTGGGGATCATCGTCTTCAGCTACACGTCACACATCTTCTTGCCGACGTTAGAGTACAACCTTATCGACCGATCCAAGTTTACCTGCATGTTGAATTGGAGTCACGTCACAGCTGCCATCTTCAAGGCGATGTTTGGCTATGTGGGATTCCTGACCTGGGCTGAGGATACAGAGGAGGTCATCACCAACAACCTCCCGAATCCAACCTTCAAAGGCTTCGTTAACCTCATCCTTGTGGTAAAGGCCATGCTGTCCTACCCGCTTCCCTACTACGCCGCCGTTGAGATCATTGAGGTGACGTTCTTCAGGGGACGGCCTAAAACGATGTTCCCTTCCGTGTGGGCACTAGACGGGGAGCTCAAGGTGTGGGCCCTGGCCGTCAGGGTCCTGGTGGTAGTCTTCACAATCCTCATGGCCATCTCCATCCCCCACTTCGCTATCCTGATGGGCCTGATCGGTTCCTTCACAGGCACCATGTTGTCCTTCATCTGGCCTTGTTACTTTCACCTGAAGATCAAGGCTGGCAAGTTGGAGTGGGGAGACATCGCCTACGACTACTTTGTAATCTTCCTGGGCTTTCTCTTCGGTATAATCGGTATCACCACCTCCTTTTATGCCCTGGTGGAGGCCTTCCAAATTGGTCTGCCTTTCTAATATTCGCCAGCGAGGATCGAGTTCAACATAATTCAAGTATGCAAGATGTTCCAGGAGTCTTGTTTGGTAAAGAGGCACTTGCACTGTGCTGTAAATCCGTATTGGTATTTATAATGGTATCAAGTGAGGAACAATATTCGAAATATTGGAATTTACTAGTAATAGTTTACGCAGCAATAATCAACCAAACAGCCGTGCTTCAACAGTGGCCAAGAGACCTTCACCAGCTAGTGGCGGTCCATCATGTGAAGGATGCGCGCGCGTCAGCACCATCTTCAGCCCCCGTGTCAGCAGCGTCGCCTCCTTATCCAGGAGAACGTCAGCCTGGCCTTGGGACCACCAGAACCTACAGTCATCACCTGACTCCTGCCGTCAGGTTTACCGTGTCTTCCAGGGACTTGTTCCCACGTTCTCAGAGTTTACCTGAAGGTAACCAAGTCTTCCAGTTACAGTGATTAAGGTTGACACATGTGTCGACGATATTAGTGTAGGACACAAGTGTGTCAAAGATACGAGTGTAGGACACCGCTGTCAAAAATACAAGTGTAGAACACTGCTGTTTAAAAAAAAGTATGTAAAGAGTTCAGTTGTAGGACCCGCGTGAGTCAACAACTTGGTGTTAAGGGCTGTAGCGCCATCAACAAGACGGGGCAGGGCTGTGCTGGCGTGAAAGTCGTTCTTGGTGTGGCGGCGAGCGACGCGGCAGACCTGTGTGCCTCTGCTGCGT